CACTCTTTCCAGTTCCAGTTTTTCCAACAAGAACCATCCTGAGTTCTGGTTCCATTGGTTCTGTTGGAGAATTGGAGGAAAACATTTACTGAAAGAAAACTTGAATAATGAAGTTAATGAATGAAAGCTCCTCTGAGCCTGAACAGGAACCAGAAACACAAAAGACAATTCTATTGTGGAACATAGAACAAAACCATTCTGGTCTGCACAAAGTGAACCTGAGTGCAGCTTTAGCTACACAAAGCTGAGGAATTTATATGATTCAGAAATATTGATCAAGCTCTTTTAGCCACCTGATGTTAATGAAACCACTCGTAATCGCTTTAATGAGAGAGGACTTTGTGGGGACTTTCTACCCTGATGTTTGTTCCCAGAAACAGAAATCAGGGGTTTATTTGTAACATGCCTCCAGTGTAACAATCATACCCCCACTCTGTGTATCAAATTAACATTTATAAACAGAAATGCTTAATGCCCTCTAGCCTAATGTTGCTTCTTGTGTTTAAGTAATGATGACTCATTTCTCTGGAAGTCAGATCATGAACACAAGAACCCATCAATCCTGTTTATTTTGTAAAGAAAAAACAATGCTGTTGATGTCAGAGAGCAGAGCTGCGCAGACATGCCCGTTCACATTCTTTAATTGTCTAAAACACACCCTGCTTCAGAAATATATCTCATTCCTGTTTTTACCGTCAGTTGGTTAGACGTTAGACTGATTTAATCTGAACAGATTAGTTAAAATACGATGTGCTTTTATTTTCACAGCAGCTGTAATAAAACACTTTATAGACCAGTTTAGCTCAGAAACGGATAATTGAGGAAATATGGAAACCAAACACCCCACCACAAGTTTGAAAGACAGGTCCACAGAAAGGGACCGTGGTTCAGTTTATCTGCATTTCAGTTCGTCCCTACAAAAGACCTCCATTTGATCTGGTTTGAGCCTTTTAAACAGACAGAGGTTTCATTATGTTTTTCCAGTTTTTGTATAAATTAGAAATTGAATATTAGACTCTGAGCAACTTGTGCAGAGGGAGGAAAGTACAAATTCCTGGAAAATACTTTAACAATGTGATTGGGCAGACTAATGTTGAATCTTTATTTAGAGCAGAAAATATATAAATAATGTTAATATTTCTGACTTTGGACATGGTGTTACAGTGGGCCTCATACAAGACACAAAACAAGACAAATATATATTAAAAGTTTAACCTAATTGTCCAAACCTGTGCTGAGTTTTTAAACAAGTAAAAGTTACAAATATACTTACGATTAGAATAATATATTCTGCTGGCCATGTTTGTCTTTGACAGGACGGTGAGCTGCTGATGTCTTGATGTTTTATATAAAGAATAGTTTCACTTACTGCTGCTTTAAGTCTGCTCTGAGTCTCCTCCCTCTAATTTTGTCCAATCAGGTCCTGCTCTCAGAGCCTCAACCTGAGATGGACCAA